TATCAATCAGATCGATATATAGCTGTGTAGAGCTAATCGAATCTAATTATATTAGCTAAATGTGAAATGTGTGAAATGAAAAATAGGCATATGATAATAGGAGAAAATAATTTGCCACAAAATAAGAATAAGACACTTGATAAATAAATAAAGATATAAAGTTATTCAAAACTAATCCGGCAAAAAATAAAATGTTGAAGCCGAATACTAGATGGTTTATGGAGGCATGGTCATAGCTACTCCAACATACCTGTATATTCACCTTACATTTTAAATGTTCTTTTAATTTTTTATAAAGGAAGGGCTTAATTGCATTAGAATTTAAATTTTTAGCATAATGAATGATGCGTTTCGTTGTGTTCTGCATTCGTGGCTATTCAGAAAACCTTAAATTTTTTCATTAACAATATAAATAGGACTTTAACTACTGGCGAGACCTTCCCTGACGCTAACTCGATGAACTACCTGGTTGGTACAGGTTATACATTCATAGGTGACGATGAGAATATGATGAAGTATACTTAAACTGTGATGCATAGATCACATTAGGGATGATAAATTATAAAAATGGAGATACACGTGCTGATTTATAGCTATCTCATAATCATGCTAAGTACAAGCCATTTACCGGCACATTTTAACGGCTGCTTTAGCTTCATATGCAAATGTATCAAGAAGAACGGGTATTGCGTATATTAGGTAACATATTCACATACATTCACACACATACTATAACAAAAGTAGCATGATCAACAAGAAATACAATTAGCCAAACCTGTCTATATCTATCAATAACAGTGCATTTTAGATTTTTAGTCATGATTATATATATATAATTTAATATAGAGCCAGGTAGACTTCTTGGCCTAATGTTGAATTTAGAATTTTAAATTAATGAGTTTCAGCTCATATATTCAGCATATAATGGACGAAGGCTCAGTTTGTTTTTATGGGAAACGAGATTGGAAGTTTTGTGGTCTGCGTCAATCTAAGCCCCGTATTAAAGCCAAAGGGCTACAGTACAGCGGAAATCAGTCGTTATCTTATGATGAGATCATCATTCAAATCTACCCTTTAAACATTTCCATATAAACTGAAATTCATGTCAACAGTGCTTTAGCAACAATGCTTTAAATAGAGATGGGGATATATATGAGCACAAACAGTCCGGAGTAGGTGTGTGGAAAAACAGGGTTTAAAATAGATAATAGAATTAAATAAGATGAAAATTTCTTTCCTATCATGATATATTCCTTCGTGTAGCCACAATCAGCACAACTAATGCGTGAAGTAAACGTCAGAAAAATTTATAACTAACATATATAATGTGGTTTGAATAGTTTCTTATCAAAACAATTAGTTCTAATTTGATATTAATTTGAATTAATTTATATTAGTATATATAATATAAGGAAAGGATGATATACAAAATATGTTAAATTGACTTTTTTTAAAAGGATGTGGTTGATGGGAAAATAGAAAAGTTTGCTATTTCGTAGTAAATGTTGTATTATATCTATTTCATGTTTAATAGAATAAATAAATGTAATAAATAATAAAAAATTAAAAAAATTTGATGTATTTTATTCTTTTTGAAAAAAATATATAAAAAAGTTTGTCTCTTTCATTTATACGACCTAGACAATTTCCGCGATATTAGGATGGGCTATTTAATTCCTTATGTTCGTTTACTGTGAATGACATTTAATCATAAGACAGTCTTAAGAAATTCATAAATGGCAGATTTAGAAGCAGTGTTGGCTGATGTCAGCTATCTAATGGCAATGGAAAAAAGCAAGACGGTTGCTTTTAAAGCAGCTAAAAAATTACCTCTTCCCGATCCTAGGTTTGAGATGTTTTTTTTCATCCATAAAGTGTGAGAAGCATAATGTTTAAATATTTAAAAAAACGTCAAGAATTAACGTTTGAAATAATATTTGACCAGACATTAGGTACAACAACGTTTATTGAAATAATTTTTTAGGATATCTTCTTTTCAAGCAATACTGTGATTCACTTCCGGACGGGGGTTCTCTTCATTTTAAATTCTACGAAGCCGTAAGATATTTATTAATTCATTACTTTTAGGTTACTAAATTTGAACACATCGAGACGGACGAAGAGCGTATTATTGAAGCCAAGGAAATATATGATAACTTCATTATGCGTGAACTTTTAACACATTCTCATGTTAGTATTTTTTAGTTATTGTGTTAGAATTATTCACAAAATGCTGTAGACATTGTACAGGAAACTTTAACCTCGGCAACGAAGTCAGGTATACTTGCTCCTGATATCTTCAAAGTAAATTACTTTACTAATATATGCAGTTAGCCTTACATCAACGAACTTAGAATAATTCTTAAAGAGGAATATTTTGAACGGTTTATTATGAGTGAATATTTTACACGCTTTTGTCAATGGAAAAACTTAGAATTCAACATTTATGTAAGCTTGCTGCCTGACCTTAATATTTTATAATATTCATCAATAAATTTTAATAGATTTTGAAATGTGTAAACTTTTAATTAATATATTTGCTATTTGCTTTTGTGTCTCATAATTTTCCTCTTTTTTAGGATACGGGCTCTGATATAAGTTTTTGTGAATTATTTATTTAACAAATTGCAAAACTATATTTTTATGCTGTATTTTATATTTATTTCTTTGTTTTAATAAACA